TGTGTGTGTGTGTGTGTGTGTGTGTGTGTGTGTGTGTGTGTGTGTGTCTTTGTGCACATACACTTACCTTCCTGATCTCTGGGGCAGGGCAGGTTGTAGTGACTGGCAGGGGCTGGTTGTTCAGTCTACAGCCCTCATTCCAGACGCATCGGTGGCCCAGGTCCTCTCTCCCCATGCACTGGGAACAGTCCGTGCTCCCCATGGCACAGTTGTAGACCTCCACTGCAGCGGGAGAGACCAGGGTGAGCACACGAGCCACAGTCACCCATCCCAGCCTGCCTGCCAGCCCCAAACCAGCCCCAGTCCCAGCCATCATTTGTCTGCATGAGCAACAGGCATGTTGCGCACTGTCTGAGTCACAGGGACATTGGCTCTGTGCCTGAAGACTTCCCAGAAGTACTGGGCATTCATTCCCACCGAAATATAATTTAGCACTTTGGGGGGAAAAAAGGAGCAATCTGGTCAATCTTTGTTGCATTTTTCAAATTCTTAGCATCCACGTGGGGATCTCTGTGGCTCCCTTTGTCCTGCTAGCTGTACGATCACACCAATGGGCTGCCTCTGAGGCTTTCTATGGCCCCCACTGCCTCAGTTCCTCCACTTCTGCTCCTGTGTCTCTCCCTAGCTTCTTTAACTGTCCAGGCCATTCCCACAACCAAAGCATACCGTTATTGAACAATGGGAATCTTTTGGACCCTCTGTGTAACTCTATGATTCAGCTTTGTTTGCCTACATGCCATTCCTCATACATGACACTCCCAACTCCATGCTATCCCCCATTCCTGGGACACTGTCCTTCCTCACCTCTGTCTCCTGGCTTCCCTCAAGGCTCAGCTCAAATCCTACCTTCTGGAGGAAGTCCACCCAACCCCCATATCCCTAAGGCTCTCTAAATCACTAGAAAAACTTTATGAAACAAGTTGTTGACTAATTCTCATTAAGAGGCCAAGTGCATAATCCACTTTCATGGGAAGTGTTTGAATCTAAAAAATGTTCACACCCTCCAATCTCATCATGGCAGGAAGGGGAAGCCAAGAAATCAATCATAAGTTGCTCTGATGAGATGGCTTTGCCTTCAGTTCTGGACTAAATTCCTGGTGGCCATTAAACAACTCTTCTAAGGCTTCAAAGGATCCTAGATCTATAGCTCAGAGACCATCTAGTGGAGTGGCACAGATGAGGAAACTGAGGCCCAGGGAGGTTAAATGAGTGCCTTAGGACACAAAGGTAACAAGTGTCAGGGACAGGCTTTGAGCTCAGGTCTTCTGACTCCAGATCCAGGACTCTTTCTACTTTACCACCGTGTTTCCTTAATTCGCTGGTATTTGGCTACCCCCAACTCTTGTTAACCAGATTATTTCCCCCACTATTCAGCTTTTAGAGGAAAGAGGAAAATAACAATAGAAGCAGGCAGATTTTCTGTGACTCATTCAAAAGAATGACTTCCAGGGCATGTGTTGGATCCAACCCAACATTAAATCTCTTCTCCATCTCCTTGCCCATCCTGGGCAGAGAGAATAGAAGATGTTCATGCTGGGGCCCCATCAATAAGGCTAGATGCCATCAGGGTCAGAAGACTCTGCTGACTAAGGCAGGGATGGAGACTCAGGCATTTTAGAAAATCTGGCTCTGCTTCTCCCTCCCACCCCCCAACTGTTGGCATTCCCCAAAGTTCAATACTTAGCCTTCTGTTCTCTCTTGCTAAGAGATTACATTCTCCACTCTCACAGTTTCAACTATCACTTCTAGATGAATGAGTCCCAAGCCTACATCTCCAGGCCTGGCCTCTCCCCCTGAGCTGCAGGCTTTTATTTCCAATGGCACTTGTGCACAGATCCATCTGTACCTCAAACTCCATATGGCCCAAAATAAACTCACTGGTAGACTCTGGAGAGATGGCAGCTGTATATGGGGCTGGACAGGGGGCTCACAGCTGCCCCGAATTACCTTCTGGGCCATAAAAGAATAGTAGGACACTCTTTGGATCTGGTCACTGGTAGAAGAGGAGCCTGATTCTGGTAACAGAGTGTGTCGTAAGCAGAGTTTGCACGTGCATTGGTCAGAGATTTTGTGTGGAAGTAAAGAGTGAGAGATTGGTTAGTTAACCCAAGTGAGCACAAGTACCAAGCCTGAGTCAGGACATTAGAGAAGGGTGAGTCTTGTGTATGGGAGGGATGGGGGAATTGTTTGGGGGCTGATCTTTGAGTAATCAGAAGGTAGGTTTTGAGCCTTCAGGCCACAGAACTAAAGGCCCATAGACTGAGAGCTGGAAGGAGCCTTAAAATAATCTCATCCAGGTCCATCATTTTATAGATGAGGAGACAGAAGTCCAGGGAAGCTGTGACTTGCCCAAGGTCATACAGGTAATAAGCATCAGAGGGAGGATTTGAATCTTGGTCCTCTGACTCCAAAGCTAGCATTTCTTCCATGGTGCCACACCACCTTCTTTCTAACACTTAAAACACACCTTAGAGTTTTGCCTTACAGATTTTCTCTCCCCTGTAAGACTGTAGGCTCCTTAAGAACGAAGATAATTTGATCCATCTCCCTATCCCCCAAATTGTCTTGTATACTGTATGCACTCAATAAATGTGTGTGGAATTATACAAGTATAGCACCTTGAACAAGGGAGGTAATAGTCATGCCTCCCTCATTATTCCTTCATTAAACATTTATTAAGCACCTAAGCTCCTTGAGGGTATGGACTGCCTTTGTAACTCTGGGTCTTGGCCACTTGTTTTTCTGGCCAAACACCTGGGTCCAGAGGAGAAAGTGAGGCTGCTGACTTTGCACAGCCCTCCCTCACTGTAATCCAATTCACTTGCATGTCATGGTACCCCCTCCCCGATGTCACGGTCCTCTTCAAAAATGAAGGACAGACAACAACAACGAGGTCTTAGCACAGTCCTTGGCAGATGCTAAGCCCTTAATAAATGCTTATTTATTAGTTGACTGATAGTCCTACTGCCCTGGTCAGACCCCAGTTGGATTGTGGTACTCAATTCTGGGTTTTCCATTTTTAAGGCTCAGTGACAAATTCAAGCATGTTTGGAGGACAGTGATGCAAGGTCCAGAAAGGATGACATGAGGACCTGTTGAGAGCCTGGAGGAGAGAAGACTTCCAGGGGGTGGGGTCACTAGAGGACTGTCATATGGAAGAGACAGTGGGTTTCTTGTATGTGGCTCCAAAAAGTAGAACCACAACCCATGGATAGCAATGACAGGGAAACAGATTTCTCATTAGGGGTAGCCAGGTGGAACGGTGGATAGAGAGCCAACCTTGAAGTCAGGAAGACCTAAGTTCAAATCTGGCCTCAGACATTTGTAGCTGTGTGACCCTGGGCAAGTCACTTAACCCTGTTTGCCTCAGTTTCCTCATCTGTTAAATGAGCTGGAGAGGGAAATGGCAAACCATTCCAGTATCTTTGCCAAGAAAACCCCAAATGGGGTCATGAAGAATCAGACATGACCAACTGATTAAACAACAACAAAAGACTTCCCATTACCGTAAGGAATCAGAGCTGTTCCAAATTGCAATGGGCTGCTTTGGTGTTATTAGAGGTCTTCAACCAGAGATTGGATTCCACCTTTGGGGGAGAATGCCAAGGGGATTAAGCACATTGGGAGATAGAGTAAATAAGGTGGTCTCTACGATTTCTTCCAATTCTGAGATTGTGGTGGGGGGAACCTTTTGATCACCCCCTCAGTTACCCAGAAAACTCAAATAACTGGAATTTACTTGTGTCATTTTGAGCATTTGGTTAACTGAGATCAGATTATACTTATTTTCTGCAAGTCTTAACTCCCCTACTAGCCTGACAGCTCTCTAAAGGAAGGGACTCTTCTAACCCAAAGTGGGCTGAGAGCTTCAAGGGAAAAAATGTCTTTAGAACTTTGAAAATGTAGGATTTTTTTTCTCATTTTCTCAGTGAATAAATAATATGAATAAGGCTCAACAGTCATTTTTATGCTGATCTTCTCTTACTTAAACATTATTCACCTATTGCCTAAGACTTACAGTTTGCTTTTCCCAACTCTCAAATGTAGGGAAACTAGTTGAGGGCTTTATTTAAATCAACCAATTTTACAGAAACCACGAAGTTCCTGTTTGGGTGATGAGAATCTTAGAGCTCAAAGGGACTTTGGTCATCACCCAGATCAATGCCTTCATTTTAAAGCTGAGGCCCAGAGCAAGGAAATGACTTGTCCAGGGTCACTCAGCTAGGCTGTGGCAGGGCTGGTGCTTAACTAAGGTCCTTCAATTCCTGTTTCAGAAAGTGTTGGACTGGAATCAGAAGATTTGAGTTCATGTCCAGGCCTCAATATATCCTAGCTGTGTGACCTTCAGCAGATCACTTCCCTTCTCAGAACCTCAGTTTTTTCATCTGTAAAATGGGAGGAGTAATACCATCTATCTCATAGGGTTGTTATAATGAAAGTACTATGTAAACATTAAAGGATTATATAAATTTGGATCATTATTGTTACTCCACTTCTTAGGGCTTATGTAATAAGTCCTGGATAGGTAGCAATCTGCATTGATGGAGGGAGTGCCCACACCAGAAGTTTCCTACACTGAAAAAAAAAATCACTGCTTCAATGAAGATGAATTTGTGTGCCATACTATGTTGTCTTATTTAAGCTATATCTTTTAAGTTTTAAGACGTTGGTAGGAGAGTATCAGATTTTCTCTAAGCTCTTTTAACAGGATCTAGTTCTTTCTTTTTCTTTCTTTTTTTAAAAAATTATTTATTTTTGACATTCCTTTAAAAAAAATTGAGTTCCAAATTCTCTCCCTCCCTTTAGCCCCTCCCCCACCCACTGAGAAGGCAAGCAATATGATATCAATTATATCTGTGAAATCATGTAAAACATATTTTCACATGAGCCATTTTTTTAAAAGCAAGAAAAATAAAGTGAGAAAATTATACTTCAATTTACATTCAGAGTTCATTAGTTCTCTCTCTGGAGGTGGATAGTATTTTTCATCATGAGTCTTTTGGAATTGTCTTGGATCATTGTATTGATCCGAGTAGCTAAGTCTTTCGTAGTTGATCATCATTACAATGTTACCGTTACTTTGTACAATGACTCCTGGTTCTGCTCACTTTACTTTGCGTCAGTTCATATAGGTCTTCTCATGCTTTTCTGATACCATCCCGCTTGTCATTTCTTATAGCACAATAGCATTCCATCATAATCCCACATGACAGCTTGTTCAGCTATTCCCCAATTGATGGGCATCCCCTTAATTTCCATCCATTTCTGTCATAACCTCACTTTATTGTCACTTGTCACTTCCTACTGGATAGTTCTTTGTCTAAAATCCTGACTGTGCCCAGGACAGGGGTCTAGGACATAGGGAGGATGTTCAGTGTCAGCTGTCATCCGCCTAAGGGACTGACTCCCATTCTTCCACTATGACAGACGGCCATGGCTGGCAAGGACTGACTCTTTGGTTGAATTCTTCAAAACATGCCCAGAAGTGAATGAGTGTGGGGGGCATCCAATATGATGCCTGTGATTAATTAACATCTGCTGAGTGGCAACAGTATGCAGGGCGCTGTTATTTATAACGAATCAGTTTTGCCGAACAGAATAAATAAGTAACAATATTTTGCGTTTCAACAGTATTTTCAATCTGACAACTTTAATTCCCCAACAAACATTCCCAAGGAAGCCTCCCTATTCACTAGATTGCTTTAGTCATTGGGCCAGGGTTTTGTAATGTATTCAGGTCCTATTAGACCACATTTAATCAGTAGACATGTTGGCTTCTGTGGGAATTGCTGTATTTCCTGGTCTTTTGTCCCCAAGGTAGGCCTTGAACTGCAGTGGGAACCTTCAGTTTTGGGACCTATTTTCCATGGTACAGTAGGACATACACTGGCTCTAGGGTCAAAGGACTTAGGTTAAATCCTGTTTCTGGTACTATGTTGTTGTTCAGTCATTTCAGTTGTGTCCAACTCTCAAATGGGGGTCCATGACCCCATTTGGAGTTTTCTTGGCAACAATACTGAAATAGTTTGCTATTTCCTTCTCCAACTCATTTTACAGAAGAGGAAACTGAGGCAAAGAGGGTTAAGTGACTTGTCTAGGATCACACAGCTAGTCACAGATTTTTAATTCAGGTCTTCCTAACTCCAGGCCTGGTGCTCTATCCTCTGAGTCACCTATTTGCCCACTTACTATGTAACCTTGGCAAATCTCTTAACCTTGCTGGGCCTCAGTTTCTTCATCTGTAAAATTAGGTGGTTGAACTACATGACTTGTAAAGGCCCTTCCAGCTTTAGATGTGTAGGTTTGTTTGTATTTTTTGGGGGGAAAGGGGAGAATGGATGTGTTTTTTTAAACGGCACCATTGGGTATTTCCTTCATTGCCTTCCTCTGAAGGGCTCATAGCTTGACTGTGATCTTCAGTCTCTGAGGAAGAATTTCATATTTCTACCCAGAATCCTTTTTATTAGATTTTTTTAAGTCCTATGACTTCACGCAAGTTGACAGGGTTATGAGTGTATGGACGGGTGGGATGGGGTGGCTTGATGGAGCAGTGACTGGGTCCCTGCATCTGTGTATGTGTGTGTGTGTGTGTGTGTATACACATATGTTTATGTGTGCTGGTGTGTGAGTGAGTATGACATTCCTCATTCTCCCCTTGACAGTGTCACACCTTTTCAGGAGCTATTTCCCTGAGCAAAGGAGGACGGAACTAAAAAAAGAAACCATCACCTCATACCTGTCATCTTCTCAGGGCTGTCAATAAATCGGTCTGGTTTACCCTTTAGCTGAAGGTTTACTGGGAAAATCTGGCTCCTTTGAGGGGTGTGAAGCTGGAGAGGGAAACACAAAGTGGAGAAATCAGATCAGGAAAAGGGGTCACTCTGGTGATTAAGGCACAGATGCACACACCCACTCATGGAGAGACACATGTACACAGTTGTGCACACACCCACACACACAGGTGCTCATGGGCACGATGCCCACTCGGACCTGCTCCCACACACAATACACATGTAAATGCTCACTGATAGACACACAACAAAGGGCATGCATCCAGTTATGCCTACAAGCATACCAGCCCTTATGTACACACACACACGGGAACATATGTGTCTAGGATTCACATATGCCATAGCCACATGAGGCCTGAAATCCACAGAGGTCAGTCCCACCCCTCTCAGGAGAGCTGCTCCTCTGCCACCTAAGGCAAATACCAGGATATTGGAGACAGGGTCTCCTTCCTGACTTCTGCAGAGACCATCAAACTGCAGGCAGAGCAGCCCCACATGGTTCTGCATTTGCTGAATTCTAGTGGAAACAGAGGAAAGGGGGAGGCGAAGTCCAAGAAACGGAGGCAAACTCTGGAATTCTCTTTTCTCCAAAGGCCCTCTGGAGAGGTTGTCTTTTTATCCTTGGTGTAATTTCTCTCTCTCTCTCTCTATATATATATATACATATATATCCTATTTTGTTTTGTGTGTATGTGTGTTTTAAACAAAAAATTATTCCAGTCTCTGCTACTTGGGATAAAGCTTCAGAAAACAAAAACCCAAGGAAAAGGGTCCAAGAGCCCCCATGACAACAGGAAGCTGGAAGCCCTCCTTGCCACCTCCCTGCCAAATCCTCCTTGGGTTCATGGGGTTGCCCATGAGACTACAGGGCAAGGAGCGGGAAGTGGAGGGCAGAGATGGAGCAGGGAAAGGGGACCTCGGAAAATGACCGAGTTCGCTCTTCAAGAGTATCCTGGGGAAGGACAAAACCCACACGTTCCCCTTTGTTTTGATTTAACCAGGGGCTCTTTCTCTTTTGGCTGAGCCATCTGGGTGTAGGTCCAGCTCTTCTAACCCCCAAGCCCATCCACCCACTCAGAACCTTCCCCCCAAACAACTCCCCAAGCCTTCCTAGCCTGGGAATGCTTGTCTGCGTTGGGCTGAGCAGATGTTCCAGCCCCAAGGCTGGCTCAGGACCTCTTACTATACACCTCTCAGGGGCAGGCATCTTGGGCATACTTGAGAGGAGCAGAATGGGGAGGAAGGGAGAAAAGAGGTAATGAAAGCAGAGAAGGTGGAGAGAGATTAATAGCATAGAGGGAAGAAGAGAGGGAGGAAAAGAGGAAAGTGGGGAGGGGAAAGAGGAGGGAAAGAGAGCACAGGAAGAAGGAAAGAAGCGAGAAGAGAAAGGGAGACAGAGACAAAAGGACGGGGGAAGGAAGAGATTGGGGGTGGGGACAGTGAAGCACTCGGAAGGCCAGTCCTCCTCTGCTCCCGTCTTACTTTGAAACAGCATTCCAACCTCCTTGCTGCGGGGGAGGAATGCGGACCTTTGGGAACTGAGCTTCCAGCCCCATCTGGTGAAGGTGGAGGGTGGGTGTGAAGTCCTGTCTGAGCCTCCAGAAATTGCAAACACAGATGGTCACCTTTCCTTTTCTTGGGCCCTCTGTGAGCTGAGAGACTGAGGGAGGGAGGAGAATGGGATATACTTCCCATATTATTAACTTCACTACTCCGGAGTAAGTCAGAGTACATCCACCATTAAGAACAGTCCCATCCTCACTACCCATCACACGAAGCATGACATGGACAGCACTGCTGGGGTCATTCAGTGCATTCTCCTGTCTCTGGGCCTAACTGTTCTAAAAATCACTGCAGACCCATAACTTGTCCTTGGTAGAGTAAGATGGGCTAAAAATCTGGACCCAGGGTCTTCCAGATCTTGTCTACCTCCAGGCTTTTTTTCCAGGGTCTCGGGAGTTTTCCACTTGGGGCCAAAATCTTATGACTTTGTTACTTCCTTTCCCACCAGGGCTAAGATCATAGGACCAAGAACCTGAAGTCACCTTGGAGAACATTTAGACAAGGAAACCAAGGGCCAAAGTGGGAATAAGGGTGGCATGTAGGGGTATGTTTTAGCTGGTTTGGACACTTGTCTTTGGTGCTAATGTTGGGGGGTGGGGAGGAATAGTGAGGGAGTGGAGAGGTGAGAGAAAGAAGGGAGAAGGGAAGAGAGTTACCAACCTAGTTGGATTTATTCCACTGGTCCCTGAAGGACAAAGGTCAATGATGGTGGATGACAGACGAGAGAAGAGATAACAGATCCGTAGGCAGCCTCCCCATCCACATCCATGAGGACCCAATGTCAATGGCTTTATATGAGAACCCTCTTCTCTAACTTACCACGACTTGGCTGCACTGAATTTCTGAAGCATTGACCCACGTGGCCTCAAACGTCTCATCGCTTCCGAAGTTGCAGGCCAGAGACACACCCTAGAAGGAGACACAATTGAAGAGTGAGGGCTCTCCGGCACATGATCAAGTATATTAGTCCCTTGATTTGGGTAGATACCAGAAGGGGGCTGGGGTGAGATTATTGTGAGAGAACTACACCCCTACCCTTCTCAAGAGCCCAGAATGACTGCCAGCTGCCTAAAAAATAAACCCTGAAATTCAAGGACATCTATACTCTAGCCTCCCATTACCTCTCCAACTTTCCCACTATGACCCCATAGGTTAAAGGAGAGATAGCATGGTACAGTGGGAAAAATGGTGGATTTGGAGTCAAAGGATCTGGGTTGGAAAACTGCCTTGGACATGATTTTTTGTCTTGGGGGCCAGGCTTCTTTGTAGTTCTACAGTGTTCACTTTTGATTGCTTTGTGGTGGTTTTTTCCTTGTACATCGTTGAAGTCATTGTGCATATTATTTTCTTGGCTCTGCTTACTTCACTCTGCATCAGTTCATGTAGATCTTTCCACATTCAGCATATCTTACAGCACAGTAGTGTTCCATAGAATTCATATATGACGATTTGTTTAACCATTCCCCAATCAATGGGCACTAACCTGGTTTGCAATTCTTTGCAATCACAGAAAGTGCTGCTATAAACATTTTGGTACATATAGGGATTTTCTTTTTATCAACAGCTTCCATGGGGTATAAGCTTAGGAGTGGAATCTCTGGGGTCAAGGGGTATGGATGTTTAGTCACTTTATCGGCATAATTCCAAATTGCTTTCCAAAGTGGTTGTGGTGATTCAGAGCACCACCAATAATACACTATTGTGCCTAGCCTCCCACAGGCTCTCCAGCATTGACCCTTCTTATCCTCTGCCATTTTTGCCAATTTGCAGAATGTGAGATGAAACCTCAGGACTGTTTTGGTTTGTATTTCTCTTATTATTAATGATTTGGAACATTTTTCCTATGGTTCTTAAGAGTTTGCAGTTTCTTTGACAACTGCTGTTTATATCCTTTGTCTATTAAAGAACAGTTTTTATCCATGTACGTATGTATGTATGTATACATATGTAGGTGGTGTATATATGCATACCATGTGTATATACATATATGCACACACATATATATGCCACACACATATGTATATAAGTTGTCTACTATGTACCTTGGATACAAAACTTTTATCTGAGAAATTTGATACAATCATTTTTTTTCCCCACTCAACCACTTTCTTTCTTATCCTAGGTGCAATAATTTTATTCGTGTGGTAGAGAACCTGAAGCCTCGAGGCCACATGTGGCCCTTTAGGTCCTCGAGTGCAGCCCTTTGAATGAATCCAAACTTCACAGAACAAATCCCCTTAATAAAAGAATTCGTTCTGTAAAACTTGGACTCAGTCAAAAGGTCACACTCGAGGACCTAGAAGGCCACATGTGGCTTCGAGGCCACAGGATTCCCACCCCTGTTTCAATCTCAACCTCTCTGACCCTCAGTTTCTTGATCTACAAATTGGGGAGAATAATACCTGTAGTACCTAACTTACAGAGTTATAGGGAAGATCAAATAAGAACATATATGAAAATACTTTGCAAAATTTAAAGCACTATATGTCAACTGTTGTATTATTGTAATTGTTACTATCATCTACCTGTATGACCTTGGGCAAATCACTTTACCAGAATGGGGCAGTGGAAATAACACAGGATTTGGAGTCAGAAGACTTGAGGTTTGAATCCTGGTTATGTTACTTACGAAGTGTGTGACCTTAGGCAGATCATTTAACTTCTGGGAGCGTCAGTTTGCTCATCTGTAAAATGGGAACACTGGAGCATCTGACCACTGAGGTCCCTTATATTTCTAAACAGATGATGTGATGACCTCTCTAGGTCTCAGTTCCGTCCAGAGATCAGACTACATCATCTCTTAGCTCTCTTCCAGCTGTACATGCACAATCCTAGGTACCTTACCCTTTAGACAGACCAATGCTCTGGAGGCACCACACTCATATCCACCTCAATCAGTCAGCCAGTCAGCAAGCATTTATTAAGCACTTTCTGTGTGCCATGCACTGTGCCAAGCTGGGGCTACAACAAAGGGCAAAGGGAATCTCTACCCTTAAGAAGTTTACATTCTAATAGAGGAGAAAACTCATGAGTAACTAGGGTGACCCTAGGCAATTCACCTAACTTTTTGAGTGCTGGTTGTCTGCTATGCAGGCTAGAGACAGAGTTGATGGAAAGTGCTCTCAGAGGGGAAGGCATTGTTGGTCATCTGTGTGACTTGATTCATATGGTACTTCCTGTCTGGAGCACCCTAGACTCTCAAGGAATTGCGAGATGACCCCACTAAAAACGATTCCCTTATGTCCCTCCCCCTCATTTTTACAGAAGAAGAGGTACAGAGAGGAGGAAATGCTTTGTCTGTGGTCACACTGCTAGTAAACAGTAAAGGCAACAGATGACACAGTAGATAGAGTTCTGGGCCTTGAGCTCAGGAAGACCCGAGTTCAAATCCAGCCTCAGACACTCACTTAACCTTTGTCTGCTTGAGTTTCCTCATCTATAAAATGGGGATGACAACAGCACCTACCTCCCAGAGTTGTTGTGAGGATCAAATGAGATAATATTTGTAAAGCACTCAGCCCTGTCCCTGGCACATAGTTGGTGCTAAATAAAATTCTTATCCCCCACCCCCCACTAAATAAATTCCAATGGCTTCCTATCATCTCCAGAATCAAATATCCAAACCCATGTCTACTTGAGACAGAAACAATTTTTCTTCTCTCCCCTCACTTATCTAGTTCCTCCTCACCCTTCCAGGCTCAGCTCGGCTCAGCTCAGCCCACATTGATCGGTCCCCTTTTTTGAACAACTACACTATTCTGATGGGGGGGAGGCTGCAATGTTAGCTCTCTGCCTGCCTCACAGACATTCTCTTTTCCATCTAGCCTCGCCCACCCCAGCATTTATTGACAAGTTTGAAGATGAGTCACTCAGTAAATATCGATTGATCGAGTTAATTTAGAAATGGAGGCTGAGGTCATCTAATGACTAGTCCCAGATTTGGGGATCTGTGGTGTGGATCCTCTTTAATGCTTTTCCATGTCTATGGGGGAACAAATGGGAAAACTGGATTTGAAGATGGAGAGGCTGGAGAGACATTTCTGGATAAAACACAGGAAGGAGCTACAGACAAATGGAGGATCCTGATCTTCAAGAAGGGAAAGGCCATCTCTCTGCCTCTTTCTCTCTCCACCTTGCTTGGAATAGACTCCCTTTCCTTACACATCAGTATCTGCTGAACTCCTTCCCTTCCTTCCAGGACCAACTCAGGCACCCTGGCCTCCCTGTCACAAATACTGGCAAAAGTGATCTCTTCCACCTCAGATTTCTCATAGCACTTGGCCGGGCCCTCCTTTACTGCCATCACCTTGTACCATGTTAATTTGTCCACATGTTGTATTCCAGCCTCACTGAGGGCTGGGATAGTTTCATATTACCTACCCATTTATGTATTCTTAGCCTGAGGCTAGGATCTTTTCACAGAGTAGGTGTTTAATAAATGTTTATTGGACTGGCTCTGAGAGCCAAAGAAATCCAAGAACTGGATATTAGATTAAAATGGGGTGGGGGGGAGCAGGACAGCAGAGATGGTCCCAATCCCACTGAAACAGTTCACAAAAAATGCATGGTCCATGTTTTCTCCACCCTTTAAGCCTGTTATCTTCTCAGGCTTCCAGGCCACACTGTAGTCCTCCTTGGCTTCTCTCTCTCTTCTCGGCACCATGCACCTTCCCACCTGCTAGCCAGGCCTTAGCCTCATCAGCTCCAAACGGGAACCGTTGGGGTTTGCCTGGAGTTAGGAGGGGAAAGGCAGCATGTTGCAGGGGATAGAATCTGGCCTTGGAGTTGGGAAGACCTAAGTTCACTTCTGATTTCTGACATCCTGGGTCTGTGTGAGCCTGGGTGAGGCCTCAACATCTTAGTGCCCTAGGTACCTCTGTAAGCTCTAAGTGGTGGTAAGGTGGGTACTTATCTACATTGACAGAGGGAGTTCCCAGACTGGAAATTTCCTATGCTAATGCAATTACAAATCTAGCTCATCTCCCCAGAGAAAAATTAGGCAAAATGAAAAAATATGATGTAGAAATAATAGGAGGGAAATAATACACATTAATATGTGTGTACATATGTATATTTAATATGTTATATATTAGGCCTATATAACATAACACATGTATACATATGTCATATATACATTATAGGTGTATATATAAATTATAATATATTGCATACATATTGTGTTCTTTAGTCATTTTCAGTCATTTATGACTCTTTGTGACCCCATTTGGGGTTTTCTTGGCAAAGAAACTGGACTGGTTTTCCATTTCCTTCTCCAGTTCATTTTACAGATGAGAAAACTAAGGCAAACAGCATTAAGTGACTTGCCCAGGCTCACACAACTAGTAAGTATCAGAGGCCAGATTTGAACTCATGTTCTCCTGACTCCAGGACTGGCACTCGATCCACTGTGCCAACTAGCTGCCCTATGTGTGTATATATATATATATGCATAATATAAGTATATCATACTATAGTTATATTACACATATAATACGTTATACATATTGTATAATTTTTATTCCGTGCATATATGCATAGGCACAATAGACATATATGTATTATATGTTAAAATATATTATGCATATTATACCTATATGCATATACATTAAAATGATAATATATGTATGCATATGTTATCATATAAACACATCTATCAATCTATCTATGTTCTATCTAATCTATCCACAGTCTTCCAGTTCCCTACTTTCCCCTTATGTGTATACCTATGTGAATGTGTACATCTATGTATACATACATATACACCTATGCATACACACATGCATATATATGTGTGCACACACATAGAGATATACCTTCTTAGCTCTGCCTGTCCAAATCTTCTCTATCCTTTAAGTAGTAGCTCCAATCCTCACCTCCTTCAGAAAGCCTTTCCTGACCACTCCAGCCTA